CCTCCCAAGTGCTGGGACTATAGATATGTGCCACCACACCCAGGGGCACATGCTTTTTAATACCAGCATTTCAGAGGCAGAGGCAGTGAAGGCCAGCTGGGGCTACAGGGAGACCCTGTCTTAAGTAAACAACACCCTCCAAAAACCTCTAAGATGTTAAAAAAAAAAAAAAGCCAGGCATGGTGGTGCATGCCTTTAATCCCAGGGAGGCAGAGGCAGGTGGATCTTTTCAAGATGGAGGCCAACCTGGTCTATATAGCAAGTTCCAGGCCAAGTGGGGCTACAGGAGACACTGTCTCAAAAAGACCAAAAATAAATATTATGAAAAGACGTGAGGAGGAATAAAATCGGCACACTACAGGAAAATTAAACACGAGAGGCCGTAAAGGAGAAACTGAGGAACAAATGATGTAAAGCATACAGAAGAAAATGGGAAGTGCCAGAAACAAGTTCATCTGTTGTTAGAAATTCGTTTAAATGGATGAAAATCTTAAGGGGCTGGAGAGATGGCCCAGCGATGAAGAACACCTGCTGCTCTTGTAGAGGACCTGGGTTCAGTTCCCGGCACCCATGTGGCAGCTAACAACTGTCTTTAACTCCAGTACCAGGGGAATTCAGTGCTCCCTCTGACTCCTCCAGGTATTGCATGACACAGGTGCACTTACACACATGCAGGCAATACACTTATACACATAAAATTAAAAAAATAAAATTAAAAATAAAATTAAAAACAGATTTGTGAGAACTTGGGAAGGGATCATGGAAGGTAATGGTGCCATAGTTAAAGGAATTAGGTTTCTTTTTCTTTGTACTTGTAGATTTTGAGACAGGGTCTCCCTATTGCCACAACTGGCCTGGAACTGATTATGTAGCCCAAGCTGGCCTCCATTTCACAGAGATCTGCCTGCTTCTGCCTCCTCAGTGCGGGGATTAGGGGCGTGCACCACCATGCCCAGCAGGGTTTCTTTTTAGGGATGAAAGTGTTCTAAAGTTCATTGTGGTGATGTTTGTATGTATCTGAATATACTAAAAATCATTAGCTACTTTAAATGGGTGAATTGTGGAGTGAGTTTTATATCTCTATAAACTTAAAGAAAAGGATGTATCTGGCTTACAGGCATTTGGGGGGTAGCACAGTTGTGGCACAGACAATTAAATTCTCCCAGGGAAGCTCTGTAGGCCGAGACCATTCTCACACTGGAAGGTCTGTCACAGACACAGTGTCCACAAGGTTTGCCATTTCTCAGGATCGCTGAAGAGATCAGTGACAGCAGTAGATGGCAACATGCATTTGGGGAACTCTAGTAATATGTCAGGCATCATATGTGAAGGAGTGTTCCCACCTAACAGAGATGCACTGTGCACCTTTAAGACATTCAAGTCCTACACCTTTGATTCTAATGCTAAATGTACCTGTCATTGATGCTCCAACTTTAAAAAAAAATTATAGATGGGTGTGGTGGTCCACAGAGGCAGGTGGCTCTCTGTGAATTCGAGGCCAGCCTGGTCTACATAGTGAGTTCCAGGCAGGCTGGGTCTACAGACTCTGTCTCAAAAAGACCAAAAGAATTGGGGCTGGAGAGATGGCTCAGCAGTAAAGA